GAGAAAGAAACCAGGAAGAATACTTGAATAAGTGCAAGAGAAATAAGGAGGCTTGCTGCCACTTGATCTCTAGGGGATGCCATGTTCGACTTCTGAGCTGAATGTTCAATATACAGGGCGTTCGGAAAGTCACTATGCACTTAGATTTTTTATTAACAGACATCTTTCAATATAGAATACAGGAGGGGAATATGAATGGAAATTATAAAAAAAAGTTGTTAAAACCATTTTAGGGTGAAATCTGAAAAATATAAAACATTTCAAATATAAAAAAAACAACTTTCCGAACATGCTTATATTTTTGTTTTATTTATTTTCTTTTTTAACAAAAAGCTGTTAGTTTTTGGAATTGTTTTCAATATCAGCTTTATGTAGATTCTCGGGTTTTCCACTTTTGTTTACAACTGATTATTTAAGCTGTTTGCATTCATGATAAATAAAAATAAAAAGATTAAATAAAGTAGGTAAATTCAACATCCCAACAGAAAATAATTTAAACCTTTTGCCCTAAACAAACTGGGAAGGGTGACTTTCTTCCTAACCCAAATTTCTTTTAATTCCTCAGTGACCTGTGTATAATACCAACAAAATATAGTGACATTTGGTCTGAAGGTTGCATTGAAGCATGAAATTGGCAGTCACCATGCAGTGTTGATCCCCCCCCGATGTCCATACTATATATATGACCGTAAAGAAAAAAAAAATCATTTCTATGTCACCCTATCGACTCAGGTTTAATTCTTCCTTTCTCTTCATTCCCTCTCTCTGTCCTTCTCTTCATTCCCTCTCTCTGTCCTTCTCTTCATTCCCTCTCTCTGTCCTTCTCTTCATTCCCTCTCTCTGTCCTTCTCTTCATTCCCTCTCTCTGTCCTTCTCTTCATTCCCTCTCTCTGTCCTTCTCTTCCTTTCCCCTCTCTGTCCTTCTCTTCATTCCCTCTCATCCCATTCTCTCTGTCCTTCTCTTCATTCCTCTCTCTGTCCTTCTCTTCATTCCCCTCTCTCTGTCCTTCTCTTCCCTCTTCCCTCCTCTCTGTCCTTCTCCTTCATTCCTCTCTCTGTCCTTCTCTTCATTCCCTCTCTCTGTCCTTCTCTTCATTCCCTCTCTGTCCTTCTCTTCATTCCCTCTCTGTCCTTCTCTTCATTCCCTCTCTCTGTCCTTCTCCTTCATTCCCTCTCTCTGTCCTTCTCTTCATTCCCTCTCTCTGTCCTTCTCTTCATTCCCTCTCTCTGTCCTTCTCTTCATTCCCCTCTCTCTGTCCTTCTCTTCATTCCCCCTCTCTGTCCTTCTCTTCATTCCTCTTCCTTCTCTCATTCCCTCTCTCTGTCATTCCCTCTCTCTGTCTGTCCTTCTTCATTCCCTCTCTCTGTCCTTCTCTTCATTCCCTCTCTCTGTCCTTCTCTTCATTCCCTCTCTCTGTCCTTCTCTTCATTCCCTCTCTCTGTCCTTCTCTTCATTCCCTCTCTCTGTCCTTCTCTTCATTCCCTCTCTCTGTCCTTCTCTTCATGTCCCTCTCTGTCCTTCTCTTCATTCCCTCTCTCTGTCCTTCTCTTGTCTCTGTCCTCTCTTCTCTTCATTCCCTCTCTCTGTCCTCTCTTCATTCCCTCTCTCTGTCCCTTCTCTTCATTCCCTCTCTCTGTCCTTCTCTTCATTCCCTCTCTCTGTCCTTCTCTTCATTTCCCCTCTCTGTCCTTCTCTCTCATTCCTTCTTCTCTTCATTCCTCTGTCCTTCTCTTCATTTCCCTCTCTCTGTCCTTCTCTTTCCCTCTCTCTGTCCTTCTCTTCATTCCCTCTCTCTGTCCTTCTTGTTTTCTCTGTCCTTCTCTTCATTCCCTCTCTCTGTCCTTCTCTTCATTCCCTCTCTCTGTCCTTCTCTTCATTCCCTCTCTCTGTCCTTCTCTTCATTCCCTCTCTGTCCTTCTCTTCATTCCCTCTTTTCTTCATTCCCTCTCTCTGTCCTTCTCTTCATTCCCCTCTCTCTGTCCTTCTCTTCATTTCTCTTTTTCCTCTCTCTGTCCTTCATTCCCTCTCTCTGTCCTTCTCTTCATTCCTCTCTCTGTCCTTCTCTTCATTCCCCTCTCTGATTCCCTCTCTGTCCTTCTCTTCATTCCCCTCTCTGTCCTTCTCTTCATTTCCCTCTCTGTCCTTCTCTTCATTTCTCTCTGTCCTTCTCTTCATTCCCTCTCTCTGTCCTTCTCTTCATTCCCTCTCTCTGTCCTTCTCTTCATTCCCTCTCTCTGTCCTTCTCTTCATTCCCTCTCTCTGTCCTTCTCTTCATTCCCTCTCTCTGTCCTTCTCTTCATTCCCTCTCTCTGTCCTTCTCTTCATTCCCTCTCTCTGTCCTTCTCTTCATTCCCCTCTCTGTCCTTCTCTTCCCTCTCTCTGTCCTTCTCTTCATTCCCTCTCTCTGTCCTTCTCTTCATTCCCTCTCTCTGTCCTTCTCTTCATTCCCTCTCTCTGTCCTTCTCTTCATTTCCCTCTCTCTGTCCTTCTCTTTCTCTGTCCTTCTCTTCATTCCCTCTCTCTGTCCTCTCTGTCATTCCCTCTCTCTGTCCTTCTCTTCATTCCCTCTCTCTGTCCTTCTCTTCATTCCCCTCTCTGTCCTTCTCTTCTATCTTTCCCTCTCTCTCCTTCCTTCTCTTCATTCCCCTCTCTCTGTCCTTCTCTTCATTCCCTCTCTCTGTCCTTCTCTTCATTCCCTCTCTCTTTCTCTTTTAATATAAACATTTTTCCCTTTACTTTTTTCTCTCTCTTCCTTTTGTCTGGACAAATTGACTCCATTTATTAAGAAAATATGTGTCTGAAGAGATGAATATTTGTATATATTCATAAAATAAATTATAACTGAATGGATTTTAAAGGTCATTGTCATATATATATATATATATATATATATATGTGTGTGTAATGTTTTATGTGTGTGTATATATATATATATATATATATATATATATATATATATATATATATATATATATATATATATATATATGTGTATATTTATATATATATTTATATATATATATATATATATATATATATAAATTAAAAAAGAAAAAGTTGTGATCTCTGGTGGCAGAGGAAGCTGCTATTAAGCTGGCATGTTCTTGCCAACTCTTAACATTCAGGCCAGTAGGCAAAAATAAATAAATGGAGTGTCTTCTCAAATATGAGTATCCATTAAAAATAACGTTTAAGTAATCTATCGAATTAATATAAATCCATTCTGAAATTCTTTGTCTATGAAAGTGTGTGTATAATATATATATATATACACACACACACACGAGAAGGCACGGTGAAGTAATGGATAGCGGCTTGGATTGAGGAATCGGAGAGCCGAGTTCAAATTCCAGTTGAATGCATTACATTCACTTACTTGTTAATACCCTTGGGGAAAGGTGTGAATCCTTTTCTTCTCCACCCCCCTCCCCAGCTATAGCAGGACAGACTGGGTTCTATAGTCTTGGATGGCAACTGGTCTAGGAGAAGGACAACTCTGAATCTGAAACCTGCAGAGGGTTGTTTGAGGAACTTGTGGCACATGGTGCACCCGGTCTCTGTATTTAGCCCTTCAAAAAATGTGGTTGATTCTGCACAAACCCTTCACCGCTATAATCGGATCATATGTGCTGGTGTCAGTTCCTAGGAACAGAAGTTGCTTGACCCTCATACATAAAAAAAAAAAACAAAAATAAAAAAACAAACAATGGGAGAGTCCTGTGTGTGTGTGTGTGTATATAAATGAGCTTGGTTTATTTAACCTATTGTTCGGGAGAGATGGGTTCATGCCTTTTCCCAAGGGCACGAGTACAAATTGAACATAAGACTAGAACTAGAATCAGAAGTCCACTTTCTTTGATAAGTTTACAAGAGGCGGATCAGACCATAAATGGTGTATTACTACAGCATCTAGGTTAGCTGTGCATTTTTCAACGCTTTTTTTCAAAAGCGATTACACGGCCATGTGGGTGATGAATTATTTTACATTGTCCAGATTCCATTTCCCTCAGACAAAACATTGCTAGCTTCTCACTACTGTATTGTTATTACTATGGCAAATGTTCACACGAGCTAGATTCCTTAGTTCCACCAGTCTAGACCTTCGCAGCTAAGGACCACCCCCCAAGTTGAGTACGTAGCATGAAATCGTCCTCCTCCTTTTTGTATTACTTTGATAATGAGAAAGTTTCATTTGGACTGCTTCTTTACCAGATCTGTCACTTTGTGGGACACACTCTTGAGAGGAGGCTTCCCCAATTACTACAATCTTGGCCTCTTCAAGTCTAAGGTCAGAGAAATTATCCTATATATCCTCAAAATATGTATCACTTCCTACTCACAACAATCTCATTCAGTAACCCTCTACTTTGAATGGCTCTTGGGCCTTGTATTGGGTGAACAATGCTATTAAAAAAAAATCTGTAGCTATTTAGAGAAGATAGGTTGGTGCAAAAATAATGACGTAATAATGTCGTATTTTGATGTCAAAAACGACATTATTACATCATTATTTTTGCACCAACCTAATATTTGTAAAATACATACACAAAAATGAAAGGTATGAATTTTCATGAATTTATCTGCCTCTCTTTCATCATCCTGGTGTGGGAGTTTATTTTATTGAAATATAAATTGCACAAAAATATATTAAAAAATCCAAAGAACAAAATCCTCAAGGAAATGGTTAATCAACCAAAAATAAGTTAATGATACAAGTACGTCGCTCCAGGTACCCAACCCAAAAAACACCTTAAATGTTGTTTGATTGTATTTTTGTAGGAAAAAAAAAAAAAAAAAAAAACTAAACAAAAATGGAGAAACTGTGTCAATCTTATTAAAAGATTATAAACTATTTTGTGTCCAAAATGGGTTTATATTTACCTTACCTTCCATCCACTTTCCCCACCCACTTTCCCCACCCACCCTCGGCTGAAGGGTGGAGTAAGTAGACCTACATTTCATAGATAAATAGTACTGGTTATTTGAAAATTTCAGTCTAATGCAGTATGACACAAGGACAAACAAAAAAGATTTGAAATTCTGGTCTCGCTCCTCCTTGCCTTCCCCTTCCTTTTCCCCCCCCTCCTTCCCCCTTCCTTCCCCCCCTCCTCCTTGCCTTCCCCCCCTCCTCCTTGCCTTCCCCCCCTCCTCCTTGCCTTCCCCCCTCCTCCCCCCTCCTCCTTGCCTTCCCCCTTTTCCCCCCCCCTCCCTTGCCCCTTTCCCCCCTCCTCCTCCTTGCCTTCCCCTTCCTCCCCCCCTTCCTTGCCTTCCCCTCCTCCTTGCCTTCCCCCCTCCTTGCCTTTCCCCCTTCCTTGCCTTCCCCTTCCTTTCCCCCTCCTCCTTCCCCCCCCTTCTTCCCCCTTTTTCCTTTCTATCTTTTTTTTTCCTTTCTACACGAATTCAAGTTAAGTATTAGGTTGACACTTAGTTTTCGTCATTTTACTGTTGAATTTGTGAAATGAAACCAGAAGTTTTACTCTAGTCGTTTCTTCTTCCAAGCTTTTTATTTCTTTTTTATTTGTTTAATGGCTTAGCAACTTATGGGTCATCTAATGTTGAAATTTAATTTTCTTCGGAAATAATAAAAGTATGTTATTCTGCTTTCACAATAGAATACATGGTAGATGATGCTCAGCTTTTGTGCATATAAATATTTGTGTGGACATAACTTCTAAAGGTAGTGATATATATGTTTTATATTGTAGTATTTTTTTGAAGTTATATTTTGTAATATAGTTTGATTTCTTTAAGATATTATAAGCATGAATGTGTCTTTTCATGTTGGTTGGTTGGTTGATTTATCGCCATAACAACCTTTTGAGTTATTTAATGCCAAAATCTAAATATTTTGAACACAATTTTATGGCTTCAACTACAGATAAAATGTGTCATTATGCTATAAAAATAGATTTTAATATTTTTTATAGTGTTTTGTTGGGGGGGGGGTCACTATTTGCGCATAGTTAGGACCCTAACAGGTTCTACCACCCCGACTCAGGGTAGACCTGGGAACAGCATCAATTCACAACTAATATGACCATTATTCTTTTAAAAATCTAACATTAGAAGTGTTCCATGTTTGCCTGCCTAATATTTTCCAAAGAATGGAAAGAGTAGAAAACCTGTCATTTCTACAATGGAATAAGCAGATGCTGATCAAGTGGGCACGCATCGTACACTCAAACTGTGTTAATGGATCCAAGTGAGATGGACAGAAAGGAACAATAGCAATTAAGAGATGGTTTCACAATTCTCAAAACCGCCAATCTTCCAAATGGGACCCTTGCTGCCGGATATAGTTGGACATCATACTTGGTTCTCTCACACTTTTGATTACTTTCCGATTTTTCAAAAATTTAAATGCCAAGTTAATCGTCATCATCAACATTCTTGAATCCTGATTTTTTTTTATTTATTTATTTTTTTTATTTATTTATTTTTTTTATTTATTTTTTTTATTTTATTTTTTTTTTTGTCTCCCTCAGTTTCTTTCACACTCGGTAATCCCCAATGTCTTCTTGGATTTATACTTTGCCTTTCTTGGAGTGAGATGATTTATTTAAAAAAAAAAAAAAAATAAAAAGAAACAAAACATCTTGGAAACCTTGGTTAATTTGATAAAGAATTCACAAACTTTTTGCTAAAACCTTGTGTACGTACGTACGTACGTGTGTGTGTGTAAAATCTGCAGCCCAATTTACTCAATAAGTGGACTAGCAGCAAATATAGAGGTTAATCTTTTAAATGCAAATCTATATACCCCCCCCCAAAAAAAAAAAACTAGAGCAGGCGGCAGGGTGTTAGGAATAGAACTTTCACGTCAACTAAGTCTGATAACTGACGTAAGTGCACCACGAGATATTTTAGTGTCTGAACAAGTTAAATCGAGGAACGGTGTCATATTAATTTTGAGAAGCTTACTGCTTTATTTTAGTACTGTTTATCTCTCATATACTTGACAGCTATTGGCTAATTATATGGGTCAAGTTTATTGGACGTTAGATACAATTAGTTCTGCAAAGGCATTGGTGATAAAAACTAAAGCAAACACCATGGACTTTTTGTGACTGCAAAAAGACGGAGTTTTTCTCATAAAACTGCTTTTAATTTAACTACCTTTACTCTTTGACAATGTTTGTTTTAAAAAGTAATTATTAGAACCAAAACATATAAAAGTGAATTCATATATTTTTCTTTCTTCTTGAGAATTGATAACAAAAATAACGAGCAAAATAGAGCAATAAATATTTAATATACACTGTTACATTAAAGCATGTAAGTATCCACTACAAAATTGTACATTTTGTTTCAACGTTAAACTCAAATGTTTCTTCAGGTGGCTAACAATGATGGTAATAAATGATTTTATTCAAAATAAACACACGTCCTGTCAGTAATTGGAGCAGAAAGAAATTGTAAAATAAAATGTTCTCTCCTGGTACATAACGAGTTAGAAGGGATTTTCTCACGTGTTTGCATGCTATCAATTCAGATCTTTGATTAAGCAATATACTTAGATTTGGGTGTGTTGCAATCACCATTCTTCTCATCCTGGCAAAGTCTGCAAACCTTTCCTCTGAAGTCAAAACAAACTTTTGCGTTATATCCCATTTTTGCAATATTTTTTTGTCTTTAATTCCCCGCACATCTTACTTATTATAAAACACAGATTGTGTGTGTGTGTCTGTACGTTTATATATTGGATCGGATTTCCTACATCTTTCAACCGATTTCAACAAAACTTCACAGGACTGCGTAAAATTACCTTGCGGTGGTTCTGGAAAAACACAATTCTTTTTGCACGAAATCAATTTGAAAACGCTTAAAACATGATTCTGTCACCAGAATGAAAGGGGGACAACTCATATCGAGTTATACTTATTATAAAACCCAGGTTGTTTGCTTGTGTGTGTGTTCGTTTATATATGGGTTCGGATTTCCTACATTTTTCAACCAATTTCAACAAAACTTCACTTTTTTTTTTGGCAGGTAGTGTTTCTTATTGTCTTGCACACTTTTTTCTTTATTTTTACATTCAGAATGCTTTAAAAATTCCATTTACAAGACAATTGTTTATAATAAAATTCTATTCAATCGATAGACTCATAACGATTGAAAACAATGTTTTTGTTTGAGTTTGACCAATTCGTAAAAAACAAAAAAACTAATTAAGACATGCGTGTCCGTCAACGTTAAACAATAATCTTTGTCAATTTTATTTTTCAGTCTTTATGATGGTCGATACTTGATCTATCTCTTACTGTTACATTCCCGGGCAACGCCGGGCACTCCTGCTAGTAGCTACTAAGTCAAGCCCATTTTTTTTTGTTTTTTGGCAAGTTGAAGGATGTTTTTTATTATTAAATCTTTTTTTCTTGATGTTCCCTCTGTAGAACTAATATACACTTTATCAGAGTTTACTCAGGTCCTATATATACAATATTCTCCATTATTCAGTTTCTATACAGAGGACAGTTTGTAGTATTTCTGCAATTACATTTTTTTTTTTCTTCTTTTCTGTTTAGTATTTGGCATGCTTGCTTAGCTTTACTGTATTTATTGTATTCCTTATGCAATATGGAGTGTCTGGGGAAGTCCTTGTTTAATAATTTGAGAAAAAAAAATACCCACTTTAGTTTTCATTTTCAGGTTAATGCATTTGGCTTACATATTGTTTTTATTATATATAGTATATATAAAGAAATAGTCTTCTTATATATATATATATATATATATATATATATATATATATATATATATACATAGTCTTAAGGTGTGCTATATTCATGGTATAAAGTGCTCAATATCAGAGATAGAGCGTGTGTAAATATAAGTGACCATAGAAATCAACACTCAGAGGCGACAGGCTATTTCATGCTAGATGCAATCGTCATGCCACAAGTCTCCTGACAATTGCGTCTATCATGAAACGCTGTTGCCTCGAAGTGTTCACACACACACACACACACACACACACACTCACTCTAACTTCTCAAAATGTTGCAGTGAAAAATCTTAGATATTTAACATTAGACATTACTATTGCGTAACTGCCCAGAAGCCACAAGAACGAAAAATGTAGACAACGGTACTAAAATGTGATATTGCATAAGAACTATAAACCAAAGATCAGTTAATAAGAAATTGCACTAAAACCCCAAACCATTGAAACTGAGCTGCAATGGAGAAAGAAAATCTGTGGCACATTCTGTATTCATGTGCTGATGTTAATATTGATGTAATGGCATGCCTGCCATCCATTATTGATGGTAAGCATTGATGATAGTAGCAACTACTGTATTCAATACACCAGTGAGCCTAAGCACATCAGTGTATTTTTGGAGCCTTTATATCCAAGGCTTTGGTAATGAAGAATTTAAAGGTGGAAGCTATTTCAGCTGAGATGGATATGATTCTTTTTGCTAGTTTGTTATATGCTTTTGTTCATTGCGTATAAATTGATCAACAGAAATGTATTAAATTTTTTTTTTTTTTTTCTAATTCTAGTGGCGAGACTGTGGCCAACAGAAAGAACATCATCCAAGGTCAGTTATTTTCTTGTTTGCCTGTGGAAATCCCCTATTATCTAATAATGAGACCTCCCATTTCTACTCTACACCTTGAAAATGTTCCTCTATTTTATAAAGGGCCTGGGCCAGTCTATTTTAGAAGAGCCACTCAAGTTAATCTAAAATAGGTACCTCCATTCAATTTTTCGATACCTAAGGTTTAAAAAAAAAAAAAAAAAAAAAAAAGATTTACTTTCTCTAAAGAGTTTTGTTTTTAACTAATAAAAAAAATCCCTTTCTTAAAAATTTAATTTCTCGATACTTTAAAAATTTAATTTCCCGAAACTTCATGAGAAGATGTAAGGGGATGGAAACATTTAAAAAAAAAAAAAAAAAATTTTTTTTACCAAGATTTTCTAAAAAAAAAAAAAAAATGTAATTTCATTCATTTCTGAATATTTCCTGAAAGTTTCATTAAAATCTGACAATTATTTGAAATTTGCAAGAATTTACAAATCAACGTGTTTTCCTCGGTGGGAGGGAAGCGCAAAATAAAACAAACCTTTTATTCTCTTTTCTAACGCTGTTGTAAAAAAAAAAAAAAAAAAGATTTTTAACCAAAATTTTCAACGTGCTAGAAAGTAGTAAGAAATTTCAAAATATAATAAAAAAGAAATACTTTGGTCTTTCCGCTTAATAACAACATAAATATTTTGATGACAAAACTGCTGTTGAGGAAGAAAATCTTTATCGGATGAAATACTTTATCAAAAGAAAATTTCACCTGTAATAAAAATGACTAGAAAATAAAATACCTTCAATAAAGTTTATTGAATTCTGTACCAGTGTACCAACCCAAGGCTCTGGAAACGAATGACCCAAAAGAATTATAAAGCCAAAAATTAAAGTAGAATAAGGCTGTTCATAAAATGATTTGCTAAGTGTAGCTTAGATATGGCACAAGCGCTCTCGGTGAGGACCAAACGAAATACTCAGTCGTAATGGATCTAGTGAGACAAAGCATGCTAACCATAACACCACATTGAAGTACATAGAGGCTGTTTATATGAGCTACTCCCCGACTATGGGTTAAATAGGACATTTGCTATTTAGCCATAGTTGGTAGCCAGAGTATGTGAAGGCTAACTTTGAATTCAAAACTGATTGGGAATGGGGTTACCAACTCCATCCTGTAAAAACCTACTCGCTACAGAGACTACAGTAGCATGCTGAGAATTTTGACCTTTCATACTCTTCAGGATTTCGACAGAACTTTAGTATATGTGTAACTTGGTACTGGCCATAAGACTGGCCTACCAAAAGGTATTGCACAGACAAAAATGAAAGAACGACGACGTTCGTATATGAGCAACTTTGTATCATCTATTTATTACTCTTCGCCACCATATGTTCTGTTACATGGGTAGTTCTGAAATAAGTGAAATTGGAAGTTCTTTTCAAGAGTAGCTAACAGGTTTACTTTGTTGGATCTTTCAGAATAACACTGTTCATATGAGCAACTTTGTACTGGCCATTTGCTGACTTGTCCTGTTACAGTAAGACTCCTGGAATAGTGACATTTGGAGTAAATGTCCAGATAGGGTATCATCCTGTGTGCATCACTGTTACACAGCTGAAGATATAAATAGAATAAGGCTATACATATGAGCTACTTGCAACCTTTCACTGCTAATTTCATCTGTTACACAAGTGGTCCAGTCTCAAGTTTTTACACCCTTAACATGCAAGCAGAATAATGCTGTTCAGATGAGCAACTTTGTACTGGCCATTTGCTGCTCACCATTGCTGATTTGTTCACAGTTCAGAAATAGTGGAATGTTCACAGTAAGTCAAATATTCATATTGTACAAGCAAATGCTGTTCTTGATAATGCAAACTATTTGTTTAATAGTGCTGAAAATTACTGGACCAAACCAAAATACCCTTTTAAAAATACAAAAAAATACAAAAACGTAACAAAAAATGGTATTTGGTCAGAGTTTAGGAAATGTTGTAAATTTTAGGAAATTGTTGTAAATTTTAGGAAATTTTTGTAAATTTTGATAGAATTTTCTAGCACCTCTTCTTGCTGATGTTATTCTCATCTGTCAAATGGCCCCATAATATTTTGTCAAACTTTGCTGTTTTTACTGTGCAAATTAAAATATGTTGTTGAGGTTTTCTGTCTGAATTTCTGGGATGAAAATCTATTATTTGCCATATTTATATTCGGACCATTGTCTTTATCTTTGTTGTTGCTATCACAGCGTTTCAGCCATTGTTCCCTCTGACCCTCATCAGGTGTATCTCAATCTGGATAACTTAGAAAGAATTCTGAAATGAACCCTCCTATTTCATCTGTTGTCTCGTTGCTTTTATTGAAAGACCTAAATGTGGTTTCAAGTAGATTAAATTCCTTTATGAATTTCATGGCATAGTAATTGTGAGTTCGATCCCTGGTCCAGGCAATGTGTACTTAGACTCTGGGCAGTACTAAAAACAAAAACTAGATGATATCCCTTGTCATGGGCAGTGGAACGAGACTAGTCTACAATTGTAGATTAAATTAAGAGTTCAGTTTAGAATTTCCTGTAGGTTACCCAGATGGATATACACCTGATGATGGCTGGAAGGCACAACAGCCGAAACGTTGTAAAAGTTTGATTCTTACAAAAAAAAAAATTGGGGGCATTTGTTTTTTCTTTTTCAGGCCAAAAGGACTGGCAGTTATCCCCCACAGGACTGGACCAAGTGCACTTGGTGGCTGGACGTCTGCAGAATGAAAAGTTTACTCACGTCTTTGCAAGTGACCTGAACCGTGCTGCTGAAACCGCTAAAGTTATTGTGGAGAACAATAAAAGTTGTGAACGAACGATTATTGTACATGACAAACGCCTTCGGGAGAGGGTAAGTCAGTTTTGTTATTCCATACCCTTTCGTTGAAATAGTATGTTTTCCTGGTTGTATGAGGCAATACAAAGATGGTCTTGTTCAGTAACTAATTTTTAAAAATATTCTAATTATTATTTTTCCTTCTTTAACCATGAAATGTCAAGCCACAGAAAATATTATTTTCATTCTCTTCCTCTCGCTCTCTGCGTCTCCTCTTCCTCTCGCTCTCTGCGTCTCCTCTTCCTCTCGCTCTCTGCGTCTCCTCTTCCTCTCGCTCTCTGCGTCTCCTCTTCCTCTCGCTCTCTGCGTCTCCTCTTCCTCTCCTCTCTCGTCTCCTCTTCCTCCCGCTCTCTCGTCTCCTCTTCCCCTCCCGCCTCCTCTTCCTCTCCTCTTCCTCTCGCTCTCTCTCTCTCCTCTTCTCTCGCTCTCTCTCCTCCTCTTCCTCCCGCTCTCTCGTCTCCTCTTCTTCCTCTCTCTCTGCGTCTCCTCTTCCTCTCGCTCTCTCGTCTCCCCTCTTCCTCTCGCTCTCTGCGTCTCCTCTTCCTCTCGCTCTCTCGTCTCCCTCTTCCTCTACGCTCTCTGCGTCTCCTCTTCCTCTCTCTCTCTGCATCTCCTCTTCCTCTACGCTCTCTCGTCTCCTCTTCCCTACGTCTCTCTCGTCTCCTCTTCCTCCTAGCTCTCTCGTCTCCTCTTCCCTCTCGCTCTCGTCTCCTCTTCTCTACGCTCTCTCGTCTCCTCTTCCTCTCGCTCTCTCGTCTCCTCTTCCCTCGCTCTCTGCGTCTCCTCTTCCTCTCGCTCTCTGCGTCTCCTCTTCCTCTCGCTCTCTGCGTCTCCTCTTCCTCTCGCTCTCTGCGTCTCCTCTTCCTCTCGCTCTCTCTCTCTCCTTTGTTATGAAGTACTGTTAAATATAAATAAAAAGGTCATATGAGATTATATTTAACCATGTGAAATGGGACCAGAAATGCAACCCCTGATTTCCTGAAAAGTTAATGGATTTGACTACATTCTGATGTTTTTTTGAAGTAGTTTAAAATCTTATCATTGAAAACTGAAATATGGAGAATATTGCACTCTTTCATAACTCACTGTGAAAAAGAACATTTTCTTATGTTCAGACAAATAAAGCAGCGGTTGAATTTCTAATGGCCATCTTCTAGTGGATTTACACTGGTTTTTATCTTTCTCATAACCCATGAAGATATCATAAAATTGAGTTTACTATTCTAAATATCTGTATTAGATCAAATCTAAGCTGTCAAGTTTTAGGTGAGAAAAAGCCAAGATCTTTAAGTCTATAAGGTTAAGACATGTCTTTAATTTATATGAATGAAGACTCTCACACATGAAGCTCTTTTAATAGAGAGAGAACATCCTACAATCAGAGGTTTCCATGTTGCAGCTTCCTAGCTCTTTGGCTTCTTGCAAATTTAATGGACTGACTACATTTCAATTATCTCAACAATTCTTGCTAAAATGCCTTAACTTTTCTGTTTGTAGGACAGGTCTTCAGTTCATTATATAAAATGTTATTTTCTCTTCTCTACACATACTGCTTATATTTATTAACTTGGAAGCCATTGGACCAAAATGGGCAAACAAACAGGAGGCAAAAGATATAGCAAAGAGTACTTGTTCCTTGCAGAAAACAGAAATAATTGAAACATTAAATCAAAATGTTTTTATGACAATGAAAGAGGCACGTTATACAATATTATAATATTTTTCAATTAGAATATATTTATTTATTTAATATTAACCTGGCAAAAAAGAAGCGGAGGTAAAAAGTCCACTGGTCCTTTGCAGAAAACAGGAATAATTGAAACATTGAATTAAAAAAAAAGAAGGGCACATTATACAAAAATACAGTTACCATCTGCCAATATAATGAAAATTTATTTTGATTTCATTTTTTGAAAGTTTAAAATCTTGTTATTGAAACATGAAGAATATTGCACTGTTTCACTGTGAAAAAGAATATTTAATGTTCAGACAAAGCAGTGGTTGAATTTCTAATGGCCATCTTCTGGCGGATTTACACCGGTTTTTAATAAAATCTTTCTCATGACCAATGTCATGAATTGAGTTTGCTATTCTAAATAGCTAAGCTGTTCAGTTTTAAGCAAGAAAAGGCCAAGATTTGAATATGCAGATAAGACATGTTTTTAATTTATATGAATACAGAGAAAAATTCATATTTGTATTATTTCAGTTTTTTGTTGTATCACAATATTTAATTAATAAATAACCTCACCACGAGTTTCACAGCTATAAAATACCCATCAAAATACCCCTATTGCATTTTTAAATCAAATATTACAATAACACTCATAATTATGAATGCAGGTCATTAAAAAAGAAGTAAGAGGGTACAAATGAGAATATTCTAAATTGGCAAGTTTTTCCTTTTCAAAAAACATGAGCATTATCACTTCTCTCTTTCTTTTGCCAACTTATTTCAGTTTTCTTTCTTTCTATTTCTGGCTAAAACCTAACAGTCACTGTCTTTTCTGTTTGCAAGCAAAACAGGAGAATTCATTAGTTCTGTTCTTACAATGCATCATAACCTGATTTTTCTGTGTAAGTTGGAATTTATCTGTGATCCCCCCCCCATGAATAAGCCCTTTCATTGCTCACCTGAGCTAATGCTATAGTAAAGTAATAATCTAGGACATAACGACACATTTTTGATGCAACTTGCCAACAGTAAATATGAATTATGCTTCCAATGAATAGTTACGTGATATATGAATATAGGCATATATATATATATATATATATATATATATATATATATATATATATATAGTGTGTGTTGGCAATGTTATGCAAATTGTCTTATATACTTATGTCTGTAAGCAGATGTAACAGACAATGTAATTAAGGTTAATTAAAAAAAAATTGACCAATTAGATCTTCAAAAATCGCATGATATGCGAATATATATGGTATCTATCTCTCTCTGTCACAACTCGGTCGTATCTATCTATCTCAGCCTCCAGCAGTACATATACTAATTTTGTATCTTGTGTATGTTGCGACTTCCTTAAAATTAGCTTCAAAATTACGTCTTAAAGTTGCAAGATACATAAGTATATATGGTATATGAAAATAATATATTGTGACGCAATATTGTCGGCCTGGGGTCAACTCCTAGTCATGACGTTAAGCTGTGATACTTCTCCTACCAGTGTTTTGGAGTTGGCTCTTAGTCACTGCCACCAACATGTGATCAGGTTGATCAGCGGTTGTTGCTACCCGTCGGGATCCTTTGGTCAGGGTACCAAATGGGATGGTCAGTCAATTCTAACGGCTTCACACCAGATGCAACTGGATCAACACCAACTCTGTCGTTCTCGGCTCACTTCCAATGTCTGGTTACCGAAGCAACTACTTCGATCTCAAGTCTAACCTACCCACGTTGTGATTTGATCTTAGATAGATGAGATCGATCAGGCATCAGGCCGTAGTGCAAGTCTAAACTGGAGGTGATGTTGCACAAGCGTAAAAAGAAATAAATAAAAACCAGGAATAGGTTCGGTTATGTTTGAAAGAAAACAAATCAACTTTTGTCCGTCTGTTATATACAGGAGTCTGTGTTTTTTCTCCCAACCTGTTTCTTTGGAGAGTGACACTTTTATACTTTTTAGGCAGGTTATGTTCTTCTAAGACAACAGGTTTAGTTTTTAAGAGCTGGCTTAGCTTCATTCGTCAGTATAACTTGTGTGTAGAAAGGCAAAGTCGGAGGCTGGAATCGTGGAATCTCTCTGTCAACTTCCTCCTGTGTGCAAACTTCTGCTACTCTAACTGCTACTGGCGAACTGTCCAAGGGCGCTTGCTTATGTGTTGTGCCATTCTTTTCTTTTCCAATTTTATTGGACTGTGACATTTTTTTTTTTTTTTTCTCTACATTGATTCCTATTGGAAAAATAACTTTGGTTTACAAACATTTCAGGAACGAATCCTACAGTATATACTGAACTATGTATTACTATATAAAATTGTTGTAACCTACAAAAGGTTACTGAATGAAGAATAACAAAAATGGAGGTTGAAAATGAAATGGTAATCTTTATAACATCAACAAAATGCAATACTTGCCAGTGGCATGAAGTAGGTAAACCACTGCTAGTGGTGGACTATTTAGACACGATATTACCCCAACTTACAATAGTATCCAACGTATTTATGAGGATTGAGGGCATACACGTTAATGTTCAAAGGTATGGTATATAACAAAAATATATTGCAGAACAGGTATATTGACCTTGACTTGTATAAAAATACGTTTGCTGTTGGCACAATGAATGATCTTAAAACCCTAAGTCAGCACAGAGTTAGCAAAAGGTTACCGACCCCTGGCTTAGGCGGTGGGGTTTTCATTCTTTGTGAAGTGGGACTAAGGAAAAGTAAGGAAAATGGAAAAACAAATCACAGAATTAGAAAGAGATATTTAATTTTTTTTTTTTTTTTTTTTTTTTTTTTTGTTATTTGTCCCCACCAGTCCAACATTTTCATAACGAGGGGATTGAAATGTTTATTTTGTTAGTCCCAACCCGCTTCAGGCTTAGGGCCGGGGTCTGCAACCTACGGCCTGTGTCCCACACGTGACATGTCAAGCAATTTCCAATGGAACGCAGCTGCAAATGACATCAAAAAGTCCGAACCAATAACTACTATAATGCAAAGGAGATATTTACTTGTTTCAATTTTAATATATACTAAAGTATATATACTATATATTGCTATATAAGACATATTGTAGAACAGGTATATTGACCTTGACTTGTATAAAAATATGTATGCTGTTGGCACACTGAATGATTTTAAAACCCTGAGTTGGCACATAGCAAAAATGTTGCTGACCCCTGTTCTATAAGATGTTGATATCGCTTGGTCAATATCTTGAATTGAGATTATATTTGAAGGTTGTCTTGGAAATGATCTGGAGGTTGCACGAAACCAGTGTGACGTCGTCCCCCCTGGTTGCAGCGTCGACTGTGTCATTCGATCCCGTTCGCGATGCCAGCTGTGACGTGACGTGGTGTGGTCCGGGGTTCTGATCCTATGATCACGACACCAGTTGTGACGTCTTTGCCGCGGCGTCAGCTGTTCGCTCCTCGCTGCTCCAAGTGTGACGTTCTAACCCTTTGGTTAGATGAATACCAGCCTCGTCGTTCCCAACCCGCTTCCAACGCCTGGTTACCAGGGTAACTGCACTGATCTCCGGTCTGCCTACCCATGTTGTGATTAGATCTTAGACAGACGGGATCAAACGGGGATTGGGCCGTATGCAAGCTGAGTCCAACGGGGGTGATAACACACAAGATTAATAAAACTCACAAGGTCAAAAAAAATATTGAAGAAAAGGTAACAACTTTTTTATATCTAATTGTTCGTTACACAAGATTATTCCTACCTCCCGACCCGTTCTGTGGACCGTGGCACCAAGCTTCTACCATACAACTTTAAGGCTTCGAGTTGCTTGCTCTCTAGAAATTTTGCATTTCGGGGTGTGGTTTGGTTTCAACACTGGGCGCTGATCTCTACCTGTCGTTCACGGCTGATTTCTCTTGCCGTCCGTGGCTGTAACTAACTCTCTCTTCAGAGTCTGAATTATTATTCACTCATCTCTGCCGTCAGTGTGTGAATTAACTTCTTCTCTTCGCTTCGGTTGGACGAGCTTATTTACTCGCTTGGGTTGGGCGAATTTCTTCACTTCGACTTGGGTTGGACGAATTTCTCTTAGGCTTGGTTTGGTTCGGTTCCAACTTCTCCACTTAGGCCAAACGGGCTGCTTCACTTGCCTCTCTTGCCGCAAAGGGGACTAATGAACAGGGCCCGTCGTCCGCTGCAACTCCAACTTCATCCATGGGCGAACTGCAACTGATTTCAGTTGGTTAGGGTCCTGCTTTTATTGAGGCAGTCAAAACTGGGGTGGGTCTGTCGGCGCCAGGGTTTTCTTGATAATTCTAAAGACGTATTATTTCTGATTAGGATTTTCCATTGTCGGTAACTTACTTTCACTCCTACTTCCTTACTGTGCCTCTGGGGGGGGCGTATACCCACTTCCCCTGGTCCTTCGTATGTCAGGTGACCGCTCTCGGCAAATGGGGTTCTGGTCGGGTGTCTCTCCTCCTCCCTCATGTATCACACGTGACCGCCCTCGCCAATGAGACTCTGGTCGGTATCTTTCCTCCTTCCTTCATGACGCGTCTCTAATCGGGCGTGGACAATCCGTGGCTTTGTTCTGGGGAAGAAACACCTTGCTAAAAAAAAAACAAAATTTAAATTGCCCTTTTCGTACCAGATCGAATGACGCTATCGGTTTCTTTTTCACACGCCGGTATCTGTCAAAACAGCCTATCGCTAATTGGATACGATCTAAGAAAAGAATTTCTTAGACTTGTTGGCGTCTCTCTGAACGCAATAAAAAATATTTCATTCTCCTCCGGCTGATAATAAAATCTGTATTATCTCAAAAGTTTACATCACCTTGGGTGGTTGTACTTTCAATTCTGGTATTGTCTGGGTTCTTGTATTAATGCTTTGTTTTCATATCCTTAGATACACTTCCCCATCTGTTACCTATCATCTCAATGACACCCTTTTCATTTGTTACTTATCAATATTTCTTTTTTCATTGTCCCTAAAATTTTATTTCTTTAACCAAATTGATAAAAAACTTCCATTTTTCGTGGACACCGAAGTAGGTCAGGTGCTTGACCTGATATTTTTGACATCTGATATATGCCAGTCGAGCGTGTGTGTTTTCGCTTATGACCTGGTTTCGTATTATTTATTTATTCTCTTTTCTTTCCTTTTTCTCTTCCTTTCTTTCTTTCTCCCAGATCGTCTGAACGCAATTAAAGAATTATTCTCAACCCCGAAATATTTTTTTAGCTCTAAATAATTCTCAAATGGTTAACAAACCGAAAAAACAAATCATATATTTATGAACATCTCTTTTCAGCTTTCTAATTATGCATGGTGCCACACCAGCAACAAATTTTAATTTGTTGCTTTAAGAAAGAAGAAAAAACTACTAATTGAAAGGCCTCATATTTGGCCACCATGACGTTTTTTTTTTTTTTTTTTTTTCTTTCTTAGACATCGTTTTTCTTTCTGGCTAAATCGTGTCAGGGTGGTTACAAAAAAAAAAAAAAGACCAAAACAATTCATTGACTTTTGAAGTTTTATTCTTTGGCCCATCAAAATGTATAATGTACGGAACCTGATTATTGAAAAAGTACAGAGGTCGAAATCATAACTGAACTTTCAAGAACTAACTGGAGAATAATGACAATTCATATCATGTTTTTAAAACGGGTTTTGGACGTCGATTTTTTTTTTTTTTTTTTTTTTTTTTTTTTTTTTTTTTTTTTCTTTTCCCTTTGGGAATGTCAACATTCAATACCATGTTATGAATTTACACTTTTTAAAAAAAAATTGTAATAATTTTTTTTTTTTTTTTTTTTTTTTTTTGCAAACAGAAATTTGGCATTGTGGAAGGCAAGAACTATCGAGAATTGGTGTCTGCAGCAAAGAAGACAAATACGTCAGTTGCCAACTATACTCCAACTGGAGCAGAAACTCTACAACAGGTAAATTCAGTTTTCTTCCAATCTTTTGGAATTGCATGAGAATTGATCCAAATTAGTCTCATGGAGGGGTCTATTTCTTGATTCTGATTTCATAGTATATTCTGTTTGAATTTCTCACTGGACAACAGCTTAGTTGACTAAAGCATTGGTTTGTGAATTTGGTGACACAGCGATTAGGAGTTCAATCCTTGGGTGGGGTAGTACAAACTTGGGCTTGGTGAAAACAAGGCAAGTGGTACTAAATAAGAACAAAATGAGATATCCTGACACATGGACAGCAGAACAAGAATCATTGTCTGCCTGCAATTGTCTATTTAATCTAGCACCTGTAGATTAAGTAAAGGGTTCAATTTTAAAATTCCTGATGAAGGCTGGAGGGCACAATGGCTGAAACATTGTGATGACAACAGCCTGCATGTAAAATCCTGTTATTTATTTGTAATAATGAAAATATTTACTGACTGTTATGACTATGACTGCGTTTTATATTGGTGCAGCCACTTCCTTTTAGGCCTAATTCAATCCTCTGAGGCACATAGATCCTTTGATGTTCTGAGGTGACTCCAAGTACATGGCTTACTTGGGGATCAAAGCTCAAAAGTTTGAACATTTGCTGTGGTAACTTGTAGAATTTATTTTTCTATAAAGATTTTTCAGTTTCATCAGTTCAGATTTTTACAGTTAAGACAGTTTACAATTGTAAGGAGGAAGTTTTACTTTGATAGCTTTTTTTTTTTCAAAGGACTACTACTACTACTACTTTGTGACATGGACTCCAGTGTGACTGCTTCACCATAAACTACAAAATGATTGACCCTTGACTTGAAGATGTTATCTATCCTTGATCTGGTTTATGACTACATCATGTTGAAACACCTGTTCAGAAAAATTCCCTTAGGTTTGCTTACAAGTCTTGTATCAACCCTTAGTTTGGTTATCAAGCACTTTCCAAAGGTGCCACACATTGGGATCACCTCACCAAACTAATACCATCAAGAAGTCACCTACCTGACAAATTGGCAATAGTGAGATTCGAATCCAGCTCTCATGGTTGACAGGTAGACGTTCTAATGACTCTGTTTCATCCACTACAATCGTCAGTGGATTAAACAGGATTTTCAGAATGTTAACATCCTTTCGATTTATAGTTCAAATACTTTCTTTAGCCTTTGGAAGACACCTTTTGCTGGTTTACGGCTGTATCATAACACTAGTTCCTGTATTATCACCTAAGTTAAGCAACATCGAGCCTGGTCAGTACCTAGATGGGTGACTGCTAGAGAATATCAGGTGCAGTAAACTTGGATTTGTGGGTGTGTAATGGATAATGGCTTGGAATTTTCCAATTCCAGTTGGGTCTGTTGTATTCACGGGTGTACAAATACACTTGGAAAAGAGATATGCAAGAAACAATATTGCATTTTTATTAAATAAGTATTTATTTCAATCATTAAATTGTTTTTAAAATAGTGGGAGTATTTTGTCTAAAATAATAATGCTTAATTTTTCTTAAACTCTTAATGAAAATTTATTGTACCAAGCTACGCAAACTAGTAAAACCAACTGTACTTTGTACCCACTTACTTGTTTGCACTTTTCCCCAAAATTTGGTTTTGATCTGTTAATGTATGACTATTTTAGACAGTGTGACAGGTGGACTAACAGAAGTCATGGAATTTTATATATAAAGATAGATTGATTCAAGATATTAATCATTGGATTACTCTTGCTTTAATATTGGGAATTAATTTAATTGGTTTCATTGGATTACTAATTATTTTTTTCTTTCTTTCTTTTTTTTTTTTTTTCTTTTATCAGATTCAAGAACGAGCAAAATCTTTCTTCCGAGATTTGTGTGAGCAAGTCCGAAAAAGTTGCCGTGTAGAAGATGGCACTTACACCCCGGCTCCAATCAAACGACGTTATGAGGATGCCATTGATGGGTGTATGCATGAGCAGGACCTCCACCCTGCCAGTGCAGACACACTGGACGGCCTGAGCCCCAGTCAGACCCAGGCAGCCTCCAGCATACCCGACGACGATGGTGAGCATAAGAGACGCAGACACGCCCGCAGCACTATTCAAAAGCTGGACAATAACGGTGTCGTTAACAACAGAGTCAGCAGCCCAAGTCCGAACCTGAAGGAATGCCCTGCGTCGACCGCTGACAGTAAAATCTGTGCAAGAAGCGACAAGGACTCGGACAACCAACCCTGTGCCAGTGGCCCAGTCGAATCTGGCATTGCGTCAACTGCTAAGATAGCAGCAGGTGGTGCTTTGAATGGCGAGTGCTGTAATGGAACATCTGGCAGTGTCAGTGCCAATGGAGGAGGAACACATCATGCAAGCTCTTCTGTCAGAAGTGGTTCTGCTGCTGCAGCGGCAGTCGCTGCACCTTCACTATCAGTCGATGTACCAACGCATCCTGTGCAGCAAGCTGCATCTGCAGTGTCACGAAACTCTCTGTTGGAGAATAGTCACCCTACTACAACTACTCAGTGTAACGGAGCTACAAATGGAAGCGCCCATACAAACACAAATGGAAACGGTGCTACAGCCACTAACGGTAATGTAGCCAGTGGAACCAGTAATGGGAATATGAAACGATCCAACTCTTCAAGTAGTTCTGGCTTTTCCAGTCTCCAAGAAGAAAATGAGTTGCTCGATTCCGATGACAACAGCATTGCAACCCTGGAGGACGATTATAACAACAACGATGATGACGATGATGATGACGACGATGATGATGATGATGACGACGATGATTTTTGTAGCAAAGATTCCGACTCTTGCTACGATTCTCCTTTTACTGTTCCGGTTTCTGATGCTGACGTGCGTGGTAATATTCCCTGCCCAAAGTCCACCAAGTATGGTTGCCCAAACGTGTCGTTGTCTCCGTTACTTGAACATCGACACTCCAATTTCTCAAGTATGAGCTCTGGCCGAAGCAGCAGCTTTGATGATGGCGACAGCAGCCATCAGAGTGTGGCAGATGTGCTGGTTGTTAGTCATGGCGGTTTCCTCAAAGAACTGATTCGACTGTTCATCGATGAACTCGAGTGTAAGTTCCCTGGCGGAAAGAGCCACGCCCTGCGGCTGTCTCCGAATACAGGCGTCTCCAAGTTCACAATCACAGTTGGTGAGCCAAACAAAATCTTGGTGACATGTTTGCTCATCCACGACAAGGACCATTTACTCAGTGCCGGCCTGAACGGTATGCCCCCAGTTAATCTGCTGAGTACCCTCCCCACACCAACTGGGCACTCGGCTGTCGGCAAACGATCCCCTCCAACTAGTACCTCCCCAAACGTCCTGCCTCCTCTTACTACTCCCTACGTTCCTGGTTCAAATCTTGGCCTGAGTTTGTTGTCGTCACCAGTGAAATCATCTGCAAAGACAAAACCACCACCGATTCTTTCTCCTCCTCCTCCTCCTCCACCATCTGCATCACCTTCGTCTTTGTTGCTGTCATCTACAAGAGAGAGCTCGAGGGGCAATGTCGTAAATTCACCCATGTGAAGATGAGATGTGTTTTGAGTTTACAATATATATAAAAAAAAAAAGGAAAGAAAATAAATAAATAAATAAAAAAAAATATATATATAATTGGAAGAGTGTCACTTAAAGAAATTATAACTTGAAACAGGACTATAAACAAAAAAAAACACAAAAAACTGGTAAAGAGAACAAAAAAAAAAAAAAAATCACCCTCCCCAACAAACAAAAAAAGCAAAAAAAAAAAATTATAAGAACTAAGAATTAAAAAAATAAATAAAAACTATACTTATATATATATATATATATATATATATATATATATATATTCAAATCTTTACAAAAAAAAAATGAAAAAATTAACTGAAGGAAAAAAAAGTTTAACTATATATGTATAAATATATAGCAATGTCTCTCTCCATTTTTATATATATATATATATATATATATATATATATATATATATATATATATTAAATTATGATTCTGATAATAGTGAAAAAAAAAAAATATGGGGCAAGAAAGTTTTTTGGCCAATTTTTTTCTTCATTTTTTTTTTTTATATTATATATATTTTTTTTTTTTTTCCATTTTAAGAGAGAGAAGTGAATGTCTTATTTTTTTTCCAGAAACAACAACAAAAAAAAAAAAATCCTATCTACAGTTTGTGTGTTTTATAAGTTAGCCTCTGTGTGTATGTTAGACTGTATAACTGGTAAATTTGTATGTTAGTTCAACTGGTGGATGTTTCCGTACCAAAGTTTGGTAGTTTAGTGCGTAAAAGAGTGTGTACATGTACATTTTTGTCTGCAAGTGTTAGCGTGCACAAGTTAATGCCTGTACCAAATTTTAAGGAATGATGACAAGGATGGAAACGGTCACATTGGCTGATCATTCCTCGTGGCTTTCATTCAAGTTCAGAAAACAGTTAAATATTTGAACCAATTTTAAGATAAATTTCAGTCTTTGTTTTTCTTTTGTTTGTTCCTGATAAAAATTACTTGTTCAAACAGATCTAATCAGTACATCTTTGTCCGTTTTAAATGGCGAATCATTAACTATTGATTAGTTTTATAGTGCAACACAAGGCCAAAATAATGGAGCACTTCTTTGGGATTGCTCCTAACATTGATTTTGATGGCTAACCTGTTAGCTCCCCTCCTCTTTATCATGTTCCAGGATTTTTCTATTATGGCACAGGGCCCACGTTAGAGTAGTGCTCATTATGGACTGCCAATCAGGGCTGGATTAACAAATTCATTAAAATAAGCATGTACTTAGGGTATCAAGGGAAGAGGGCATTACAGAAATTATGATATGACATTTTTGTACACATCTAAACAAATAAGACGAACATGATTAACATTTGAGTCTGCCAGACGCCATTACGAATGGGGGAGACGACGGGCACACAGCAAATCTTTGTGATTCTGATTGGTTAATAAGGGAATGAGCTAAGGGAGATAATCATGATTGTATTTACTGAATACATCCCGTCTCCCCTCTTGAATAAGTTAGTATTACTATTCAACTTTATGGGATTTAATTTGTTGTGAACCCTCACAGGGGTAGCTTCCCCTCATGTTCGTTTGGCATTATTCTGTCGATATGATTATGTGATTCTGTAATGTACCAGTTTGTTGACACTCAACCACCTCTGGTTACAATTCTGTTAGAATCTGATTGTGGCTCATTTGACAGTGGTTGCTCAGCTGCAATTAATTCTTTCTGGCTGGGTTCCCTGGGCATGATCACCCTCTCTTGATGGTTGTATATTCCTTCGTTCCCTTCTAGCTGGTGTTTCCATGATATACGTTCTTATCTGTCTCTGTCTCTTTCTGTCTCTCTCTCTCTCTCTCTGTCTGTCTGTCTGTCTGTCTCTCTGTCTGTCTCCCCTCACCAATTCTCCATGCTAGCATACTTAACCCCCAGATATATGGGGGTACCAAAAGTGCTTAGGACCCCTATGGGTCTTAATCTTCCCACCCCCAATATACTCTCTTGCTAACGAATGCCCTTCAGAAGACACCCTGTATTTTATTTTCTACCTTTGTCTAGTCTGGTACAAGGTAAAAAAAACAAACTTTGAGATATCTATTGATGAAGCTTATAATGTCCTCTTCACCTACACCTTATGGTAAGTACCCGAATTATATACGTCTTAGTTTAGTCTGGCACAAGGCTACAATAGCTGGGCACCCAGTAAATCTGATGATTAAACTCTCTGTATGACTACAACGAATAGTTCCATTCTCAATGATGATCCATGCTTTTTAAGCGTCTCGTGCGTTTCATGTTTAGACCATTCCTCAAGGGAAACTTGTATATAGAATCCATTGCTAAAGTTACTGGGGAAAGTGGTCGACTTACTCTATTGCTCCAGGAAATAACTTGTTCCTTTCGACATGCTTCATCTTTACAAATATCAGATTAGACCTGAAATTGAATGTCGTTCTCATGCCTGGTCAGTGCTTGCATGCTCACTAGAGTTCAAATTGTTTATGCAATCTTGTAAAGGCCAAATTATTTTCCACTCTGCAGCCTCTTTCCTCACAGACACAAAATTGCAAGCCTGTCACTACTCTATTACTATTCTGATGGCAAATTTTTAAAGGAGTTCCTTTTCGTTTGACCTGTTCAGACCTTTACAGCCAGGACACTTGATACTACTTCCAAAGATTCAAATCACACTCATTTCCTCTGTGTTCTTAATGTAAGGAGCAAGTTCCCCGTTAGCCCCTTCCCCTTTCAAAGTAATGTGACATTGTGGAACAGACTGCCCTAAAAACTTAATTCTTTTACATTAAGTTAAGGGTCAATCATTATCTATCCTCCTTATCCTCATAATTTTCCCTTTCTACCATCTCTTTCATTCGTATAATATGCTTCATTTATCATTACCATTTTGATTGTAATGCTCTACTTTGAATGATTGGGTGACATTTAGTATTAAAAAATACTAGTCTATAGGTTTAGGTTTTGAATCTGCTATATAGTGTATTTACACAGTTTAGGTAAGTTTGGCACAAGGCCATAACTGTCTACTCAACATGAATAAAGTTACTGCTTGGTGACTGATTTAGTTCTTTCTCCCGAAACTATCCATTCTTTTTTTTTTTTTTGTTTCTCATGATTTAAATTACATTAAAAAGACATTTTGATTTCTTCTGATGCTCTGATCTCACGGAACTCCAAGTCACTTGACAGTTCAGCCCATTCTACAATGTAATGTTCCTATTTTTAATTTCCTTGACTAAATTTGGTTGCACTAAGTTTAATAAATATTGAAGTATTTACTAAGCTGTGGCTCTAAAAGTGGGGAATCCATTGTTGATTCTCACTGAATAGTGTTTGAATTGTGAAAATTTGGGTTTATGATTCGGTTGACTGTTTTAAGATGTATTTTCATACAAAATAGCACTTTTGTAGTCTGCTTTTCATTTTTTTTATATTCATTTTTGTCATTCATTTCTCTTAGCAATGTTTATTTCTGAGTAAAATTAGGTTTTTACAGTGGGATCAAATGTAGTGGTTCTGAAGTGGGGGGGTGATTTTATGATATAAATATAATGTAAAACTGGATCCTAAATTTGTGTTTGTATATATATATATATATATATATATATATATAATGGCCGACGTTTGTTTCAACATGCATTTCAGTATTCCAACCCAGCACCCATCTCTATTATAATGGTGGTACAAACTTGGAGTACAAATTTGCAGCCATATTTACATAAGCAGGCACAAAATCGGGGTTCAGTTTTACATTGAATTACCACATTAAATTGAACCTATGAGATCAATTCATTTTCTAAGGAATGAAAAATCGTTTGGGAAAAAAAATAAATGGCTGTCATATTTGACCAAAGCAGAGCAAATGCCAGTTAAAAAAAAAACGTTTTTTAAAATAGCTTCACTGAAGCAAATCTTAAACTGAAATCAAGAATTTTAAGTATTTTTGTCTTTTTTTTTTACCTCCCTCCTCCTCAGGTGGTCTAGCCTTTCCAACGTATGATGGGTGCAGCACAATCTTACTCTTTCATTTGATTTTATACTAGTCTAAGCTAAATGTATTTTGTACCAATATCTTTATTTTTATTGTTTGTTTTCAAAAATATATTTTATCACACACACACATTAAAAATGACTGACGTACTTCAGTTAAGCATTTTTTTTTTTTTTTTTCAAGAGATTTTTTTTGTCTTTTTGGATTTAGTGTTTAGAAATTGTTCAAATGATTGTTTGTTCTGAGCACTTTGGGCTCATCTATTCACCATTTTCAAGGACTTCAATTGTGCTATTGTAAATGGGGTATACATTGCTGAAAGATAGACATATTCTTAATTCTCAAATATGGCCAGTACATTTTATTCGTAGTTGTTGTTAACGTGTTCACCGTTAATCAATAGCAGAACCAAAATTTTTGGAAATGGCAAATAGATTAACCGAAAGTGCCTGGAATCAACAACTGTTTGGACAATTTCTGATCACACAAAATCGCCAAAAGAAAATTCTTGCTTGCATACAAGAAAAATACTTAACAGAATTACCTTAGCAGTTATTTTTTAATGAAACACTTAGAGACGTATTGCTGCCCAAATACACAATGATGAGGCCCAATCAAAAAGTATCGGGACTGTTGCTAAGGTAACTACGCTAAAGAATACAGAGTGGAGCGTTTATAGCAGTGCTTGGAAGGAAAGTGTGTAGAATGTGTTCTTCTTACTACACCACAGAGGTTCCATCATTGACCATGAATTGTGCAGCAGTTTTTGGCCAAACACATTTACCAGGTCTGACTTACCACCATATTTGTCAGATTTCACCTCTTGCAACTTTTTCCTCTTCAAAAATCATATCCTACTTGAAAGGAACAAGATTTCAAGACATCAAACAAATCCAAGAAAATGTGACAAGGCAGCTGATTGCTATCCCTGCAAAGGAGTTCAGGGATGCTTCCATTAATGGAAATGATGCTGGAAGTGTATGATTTCAGAAGGAGACTACTTTGAAGGAGATTA